ATCTTGGAGATTGGGTACCATGTGCAATATGTGCATGTAGGTATGTGTGTGTGCATGTGGACTGTATATGTGTGTTTGTATGTATTCTTGTGTATGTATATATGGGTGGATATATAGATAGATAGATACGTTTGTGTGGTATGTGTATATATTTGTGTATTATCTGTATGTGTGTTTTTGTGTGCATATATGTACCTACATATGTATATGTGTATTTGCGTGTGAGTGCATGTATGTTTGCTTTTGTGCACATGGATACACACACATGCGTGTATTGCCTACATTTGTGTGTATATGTGTCTGTATGTGTGTGTGTGCATATGTGTTTGTATGTGTATGCCTGAGTTTTGTATGTATGTGCAGACAGTCCCAAGTTACAGTGGTTTGACTTAAGATATTTTGATTTTACCATGGTGCAAAAGCAATACACATTCAGTAGAAATCACACTTCAGTACAGTATTCACTAAATTACATATTAACACTTTATTATAAAATAGAATTTGTGTTAGATGATTTTGCCCAACTGTAGGCTAATTTAAGTGTTCTGAGCACATTTAAGGGAGGCTAGGCTAAGTGATGATGTTTGGTAGTGAGACATATTAAATGCATTTTTGACTTACAATATTTTCAAGTTAACAATGGGTTTACTGGGACTAACCCTATAGTAAATCATGGAGTATCTGTATTTGTAGTATGTGCATGAGTGTGTGTATTTGTGTGTGTGTAATGAGTTTGCATGTATATGCAGGTGTATATGTGTGTATATACATGTGGCTGTATGAGGATATGCTTACAAGCATTGTATGTGTTTGTGTGCATGTATGTGTGCCCGTGAGCATGTGTTGTGTGTGTGCACGTATGTTTATGTATGTGCATTTGTGTGCGTGTGTACAAATGTCTGTGTGTAGGTGTGTGTTATGTTTATGTATGTGTATGGGGTGTGTATGTGTGTAGCTACCTATGTGTATGGGGTGTGTATGTGTGTAACTATACGAATACGAGTATGCATGAGCATGTACACGTGTTTGCGTGTGCAAATGTGTGCTGGCACACACATGCAAGCTTAGAGATACTATGTGGAAGAAAGCCTGGAGCCAGGAATGGGGAGACTCAGGGAGGAGTCCCTCTTATTCTTGAGGCAGCAGATGAATGGAAGGGATCTAGAGCCCAGAGAACAAGCTGTCTCTTGTATGCAGGGTATGTGGATCCATGGTCCTCTGCATTTGGCTCTCCTTTGTCAAGGTTTTT